ACATACACACACACACACACAAAGAAAAACAAGTAGATAGAATAGGAAACATAGAAAGCTAGTGTTTGTTTGTTTTTTGTTTTAATTAAAAAAAATTAAAAACATAAATGTTTTTTGTTTGTTTTTACATGTGTGTGTGTGTGTGTGTGTGTGTATGTGTATATATATAATTTTATTTTTTTTATTTTTTTTACTGTAATTGACATTGGACACAGTTTTTAAGGCAGGTTGTGATCACGATCATTAGAAATCATGATGTAATTGAGAATGTATTAAAAACCAGACAGCCTGAGCTGAGGGATGAATGTAAGGTTAAATCTGGATTAAGGAGGATTATTCTGAGAACAGTGAGAGTGTAAATGAAGTCTATTTTATCTTAAAACAAGCTCTTCCCTAATTATGACATCTCACAGTTAATGATAGTAGCCAGGGCATTGCTATGCAGTTGCTACAAGTGTTTGCCTAATTATAAGCAATAGAAATAGTGACGCTTGCCTTAGCAAACATTATTTCTTCATGAATCATTTCTGCTTAACACTTGGTAGACAGCATTTATACACAGTGTATGTGTTACCCTGGTTCTCAAACAAAACTTGGCATTCATCGTTCATTCATGCTCTCAATTGAATTTCAATCACAGGTTTCTAAGCTGAATGATAAACAAACGGTTCACAGATTTTGTTTCTAAAAACGTCCTGCGCTCTTATCAAAATATGCCACTGTTGCTAATATATCATGAATGATCTGGTAATGAAATCTGAAGACTTTATGGTATAGTTTGTCTAAACTCTATGCTGCCCATAAACACTACTCTTCAAATGTTTGATGTCGGTAAGATTAAAAAATATATACTTTAAACCAGCAAGGATGCATTAAATTGATAAAACGTGACAGTAAATATATTCATAATGATACAAAAGATTTCTATTTCAAACAAATGCTGTTCTTTTGAATTTGTCAGCATATCCTGAAAAAGGTACCATGGTTTTCACAAATATGTTAAACAGCAAAACTGTTTTAAACATTGATAATAAGAAAAAATATTTATTTAGCACTAAATCAGGATATTAGAATGGTTTCTGTAGTATCATGTCACACTGAAGACTGGAGTTTGCCATCACAGAAAAAAAAAATTACATTTTAAGATATTTGTAATATTTCACAGTATTACTGTTTTATGGTATTTTTGACCAAAGAAATGCAGCCTTGGTGAGCAAAAAAACGCCCCCAAACTTTTGAACGGTAGTTTTTTTTTTTTCTCAGGATATTTTCTGTCTTCAATTATTTATTTATTCAATTATAACAGATATTTGGTCATTAGACATCCCTTGAGCAAAATTTGTGAAAGAGTAGCAAGTATTTTGAAAGTGTTGAGCTCTTGTTAGATGTTACTGTGAAGGAATGCATTTATTTTTGTATATATGTTGTAAGTGTTATTTATCTCTCCCCTAGATTCCCCAGAAGTCCAGCCACGCTTCGTAAAGGGCAGTAAGCGCTATGGCCGCCACTCTGCTCCGGAGTTCATTCACACGCACACTGATTCACACACACAGGCTGAAGATGAGGAGGAGGAGAAGGATGAAGATGCTCAAGAGAGTGATGACAGGACTGTACCCAGGAAACGTGAGGTAACAAACGCTCACATGAATAACAATGAAGCGTAAAGGTTAAGCCACATTCTTCTCGTTTGGAATCATCCATATCTGAATACGCAGATAAAGCTGAAGGTTAAAGTTGCGATTTTCCTTCAGAAACAATCCAAATTATTCAGCTGCAACTAGCTCCAAACACACAGTCTGGGTGTGGGTGGGTGTTTGTGTGTCTTTGCCCTCTGCTCTGACAGCAGTTAATGAGGACTCTAGAAGAGAAACCCCAATTTAAAGCAAAATATCAAGCAATGACGTCTCGCGTTGAAAAGAATTTTATCGAATTCATGCTGGCTTGTGTTTGTGAGCTTTTGTGTGTGACTCTAGCCACGCTTTCCAGCAGGTGCACATTAATACACACTGCTGCGCAGAGCTCTCTGCAGATGTTGTAGATGACCCTTCCGCACCCCATGAATGCCATTGCACGTATTCTCCATCTGCTCCCTGCACCCCCAGAAATTCACTCTGTCCATATTTGAACACACACACACAATGATCTTGACCAAACAATAGGGAAGTAGTTGATTAAGTGGCTTTTTAGTTTCACAACCTGTGGCTAGTTTTGCATAATTAGTATTTAAATATTTATTTTTTACTTTTCATTTTTAATTTGGTTGCTACAAGTGTTTGCCTAATTATAAGCAATAGAAATAGTGACGCTTGCCTTAGCAAACATTATTTCTTCATGAATCATTTCTGCTTAACACTTGGTAGACAGCATTTATACACAGTGTATGTGTTACCCTGGTTCTCAAACAAAACTTGGCATTCATCGTTCATTCATGCTCTCAATTGAATTTCAATCACAGGTTTCTAAGCTGAATGATAAACAAACGGTTCACAGATTTTGTTTCTAAAAACGTCCTGCGCTCTTATCAAAATATGCCACTGTTGCTAATATATCATGAATGATCTGGTAATGAAATCTGCAGACTTTATGGTATAGTTTGTCTAAACTCTATGCTGCCCATAAACACTACTCTTCAAATGTTTGATGTCGGTAAGATTAAAAAATATATACTTTAAACCAGCAAGGATGCATTAAATTGATAAAACGTGACAGTAAATATATTCATAATGATACAAAAGATTTCTATTTCAAACAAATGCTGTTCTTTTGAATTTGTGAGCATATCCTGAAAAAGGTACCATGGTTTTCACAAATATGTTAAACAGCAAAACTGTTTTAAACATTGATAAGAAAAAAAAATATTTATTTAGCACTAAATCAGGATATTAGAATGGTTTCTGTAGTATCATGTCACATTGAAGACTGGAGTTTGCCATCACAGGAAAAAAAAATACATTTTAAGATATTTGTAATATTTCACAGTATTACTGTTTTATGGTATTTTTGACTAAAGAAATGCAGCCTTGGTGAGCAAAAAAATGCCCCCAAACTTTTGAACGGTAGTTTTTTTTTTCCTCAGGATATTTTCTGTCTTCAATTATTTAAGAAGTTATATTATTAACAGATATTTGGTCATTAGACATCCCTTGAGCAAAATTTGTGAAAGAGTAGCAAGTATTTTGAAAGTGTTGAGCTCTTGTTAGATGTTACTGTGAAGGAATGCATTTATTTTTGTATATATGTTGTAAGTGTTATTTATCTCTCCCCTAGATTCCCCAGAAGTCCAGCCACGCTTCGTAAAGGGCAGTAAGCGCTATGGCCGCCACTCTGCTCCGGAGTTCATTCACACGCACACTGATTCACACACACAGGCTGAAGATGAGGAGGGGGAGAAGGATGAAGATGCTCAAGAGAGTGATGACAGGACTGTACCCAGGAAACGTGAGGTAACAAACGCTCACATGAATAACAATGAAGCGTAAAGGTTAAGCCACATTCTTCTCGTTTGGAATCATCCATATCTGAATACGCAGATAAAGCTGAAGGTTAAAGTTGCGATTTTCCTTCAGAAACAATCCAGATTATTCAGCTGCAACTAGCTCCAAACACACAGTCTGGGTGTGGGTGGGTGTTTGTGTGTCTTTGCCCTCTGCTCTGACAGCAGTTAATGAGGACTCTAGAAGAGAAACCCCAATTTAAAGCAAAATATCAAGCAATGACGTCTCGCGTTGAAAAGAATTTTATCGAATTCATGCTGGCTTGTGTTTGTGAGCTTTTGTGTGTGACTCTAGCCACGCTTTCCAGCAGGTGCACATTAATACACACTGCTGCGCAGAGCTCTCTGCAGATGTTGTAGATGACCCTTCCGCACCCCATGAATGCCATTGCACGTATTCTCCATCTGCTCCCTGCACCCCCAGAAATTCACTCTGTCCATATTTGAACACACACACACAATGATCTTGACCAAACAATAGGGAAGTAGTTGATTAAGTGGCTTTTTAGTTTCACAACCTGTGGCTAGTTTTGCATAATTAGTATTTAAATATTTATTTTTTACTTTTCATTTTTAATTTGGTTAGCATTTGTTGTTGTTGTTGTTGTTATATATTTAACTCTGAAAGATTTTTTTTGTAAATGTTTTTGAGTCGGTTATGCTTACCAAGGCTGCATTTATTTGATCAAAAGTACAGTAAAAACAGTAATTCTATGACTTCTGTTTTAAGATATTTTAAATGTAATTTGGCAAAGCTCAATTTTCATCAATTTAGTAACATGATCCTTCATAAATCATTCTAATATGCTGATACAAAATGGTTATTAATATTGAAAAAATCATATTTTTCTGGATAGTGTGCTACATTTTTATTTTTAATACAACGTTCAGCATTTATTTAAAAATAGCACAAAAAAAATTAGTAAAGGGCAGTAAGCGCTATGGCCGCCACTCTGCTCCGGAGTTCATTCACACGCACACTGATTCACACACACAGGCTGAAGATGAGGAGGGGGAGAAGGATGAAGATGCTCAAGAGAGTGATGACAGGACTGTACCCAGGAAACGTGAGGTAACAAACGCTCACATGAATAACAATGAAGCGTAAAGGTTAAGCCACATTCTTCTCGTTTGGAATCATCCATATCTGAATACGCAGATAAAGCTGAAGGTTAAAGTTGCGATTTTCCTTCAGAAACAATCCAGATTATTCAGCTGCAACTAGCTCCAAACACACAGTCTGGGTGTGGGTGGGTGTTTGTGTGTCTTTGCCCTCTGCTCTGACAGCAGTTAATGAGGACTCTAGAAGAGAAACCCCAATTTAAAGCAAAATATCAAGCAATGACGTCTCGCGTTGAAAAGAATTTTATCGAATTCATGCTGGCTTGTGTTTGTGAGCTTTTGTGTGTGACTCTAGCCACGCTTTCCAGCAGGTGCACATTAATACACACTGCTGCGCAGAGCTCTCTGCAGATGTTGTAGATGACCCTTCCGCACCCCATGAATGCCATTGCACGTATTCTCCATCTGCTCCCTGCACCCCCAGAAATTCACTCTGTCCATATTTGAACACACACACACAATGATCTTGACCAAACAATAGGGAAGTAGTTGATTAAGTGGCTTTTTAGTTTCACAACCTGTGGCTAGTTTTGCATAATTAGTATTTTAATATATATTTTTTTACTTTTCATTTTTAATTTGGTTAGCATTTGTTGTTGTTGTTGTTATATATTTAACTCTGAAAGATTTTTTTTTAAATGTTTTTGAGTCGGTTATGCTTACCAAGGCTGCATTTATTTGATCAAAAGTACAGTAAAAACAGTAATTCTATGACTTCTGTTTTAAGATATTTTAAATGTAATTTGGCAAAGCTCAATTTTCATCAATTTAGTAACATGATCCTTCATAAATCATTCTAATATGCTGATACAAAATGGTTATTAATATTGAAAAAATCATATTTTTCTGGATAGTGTGCTACATTTTTATTTTTAATACAACGTTCAGCATTTATTTAAAAATAGCAAAAAAAAAATTGTTGTTAGTGTCACTTTTCATCAATTTAATGCATCCTTTATGAAAAAGCATTAATTTCTTTAAAAATAAATAAAAAATCTTACCCCAAATTTTTGAACCATAGTCGATATGTATTAAACCTTGAGTGGATTATAAAATTCAGGCATGTTTTGATGTTAATTAATTGACAGTTAGTAATCCTAAACGATTACATTATTGATATGATAAATAATCGTTCAATCCACAATTTAATCATTAACATCTCTTGTTAAAATTGTTCTCAGCTTATATCAATTTAATATAGCTTAAGTTTACCTCTTTATTTGAGATCATCTGCTTTTTTTTATTATTGTTGCTCAGTACTGCTCCTGTTGGGGGTGTGATTATCAGTGTTTTTCATCTGTGCATTTTATTTTTTTACAGCGCTGGAATGCTGAGATAAGCATTTCTGAAGAGTTTGAAGCAGAAGGTGAGTTTAAATACTCTTTTAAAAAAAAATCTTCCCTTATGCATGACATTTACACTGGATTGTGTGCAGGTCAGCTGCACCTCTGGAACCCAGATGAACCCAGCACACCACGTGGCAATGCACTCTGTGACATGGAGGAGCGTTTGCATAACGCTTGCCATCAGCTTTCTCTACCCATAAACGGCACGGCCACACTGCAACAGCTACACACACTCTGCCAGCACATAGGCATTGAGGTATTTTCCACGATCACAACCTGAGAGATCCATTTAGTGGTTATGTAAATAATGTTAACACATAGTTCCTGTGTGGGTTTGAATGTTCCCAGGTGGGTGAGGATCTGTTGCAGTGTGGTGATGAAAGTGCAATAGATGTGCAGGAGTTCATCTCATGCGTAATAAACCCCAGCAAACCACCCACACCATCAGCATCTACACCCTACAGACAATTAAAGAGACTCCATTCCACTCAGGTAGTACACAATAATAGGCGGTGTGCAAAACATGCCTAAATATGAAGTGTTAAACCTCTTTTTTCCATCTTTCTCTTTCTTCCAAGTTTGATGAGTCGGGTCGAAGGATCTCATGTGCTTTGAGCAGTACAATCGGTCTGCAGGTGTTTTCAGATCTGGATGATGGATCGGGACATGCTTCTGTGGAAACTCTCCTTTACAGGTGGATGGAAGAGGGAGTGGACAATAGCTCCGAGATCTTACAGGTAACACACATAGACTGAGTGTCTACACAACTCTGCATTTCAACTGGGATATTTGTAATAAGCTTTTATATGTGTGTGTGTGTGTCTGTCTGTAGGCTCTGGATTTTAATCTGGAAGGTAAAGTGAATCTGTCTGAGCTGACCGTTGCTCTAGAGAATGAGCTGTTGAGCACTAAGAACTCAATCCACCAGGCGGCGCTAGTGAGCTTTAAGGCAGAGATCAGACATCTGCTGTGAGTCCTTGTATTTGAACTCTGTGCATTTCAACTCTCATAGCTCACTGAAGCTTAGTCTAGATTTAGAAGTAGATCTGCTCCAGCGTATTAATGCATGATTCATATTATTAATTAATTTTTGTGATCATCAAAATAATTCATTAAATCCATCTTATAATTCCAGTTCATTATTCTAACTCAACCTAGAGAATTTCAGCTGTTCACTCTGCACCACACTAGATCACTTCAGTTTGCTATTCACACACTCCATCTCATTCTAGTGGTTCTCAACCAATGGGCCGGGACCCACTAGGGGGCCTTACCACAGTACACAAGAAAGCATAAAATGACTTAAAATAAGACAAGATATGTTTTTAAATAAAAAACGAGATGTAAACTGACATTATATTTTGTATTTTAATTTGTTACCTCAACACATTTTTAAGAATCAGGATTCCCACAGGAAAACCTGGATAAGAGAATTTTAAGTGTTATTTCTACATATAAAATATATATACTGAGAGTGTCTTATAAATTAATAAAATATTAATTGGCTTTGGTAATTCATATATAGAATACATTTTTTTCTAGCTATGTCAAGCTGCTCTGCGACTATTGTTTGTATGTAATAATATGGGGAGCTTTGGAATCAAAAAGGTTGAGAACTTCTGTTGCACATCACTATTCGGACTCACTTCAGATCCCTTCAGCTTTTTTTCTTTTTATAAGTCTTTTTATTAATATTTTACATATGACAATTTTAAAAAGAAAAAGGATGAAAAATAAATAATAAATTTTCTTGCTCCAACAGAGCTCCCCAACCCCACTGAACAATTATTTATTATACATTATATTATGCACATTCTTAATCTACTCTGTACCATATTATTATTATTATTATTATACTTCTGCAGATGATTCTAATTTAATATGGGTACTCATTCAAGATCACTTAGTTTCATTATTTGACTCACCTCAGCTTTCTATTGTGACAAACCTGTTTTCTCTTACTCTAAATCACATCTTGTTATTCTTCTTTAATCCAGGTCATTATTCAGACTCACTCCAGATTGTTTTTACACACTGATGCTCATTATTCAGATTCACTCAAGATAATTTAGAACTATCAGAGCTCCAGTTTGCTTCTAATGTCAATTCTTTGTGTGACAGTGAGTGTGTTGACCTGGAAAGGCGTGAGAAGGAGAGGATTCGCTTTGATCTGGACAAAGCAGAGAAACTGAAATCTCAGCTGGCGTCTGAAGTCGATGACCACCATGCTGCCATTGAGCGCAATAACGAACTCAACCTCCGGTAACCTTTCACTTTCAATCAGCTGCAGCTTTTCTTTTGTTCATAAATGAAATGATTAGGACTTTTCCAAACTGCAGTTGTTAAGCCCCTTCTGAAAAAGGGCAATCTTGATAACACCATACTTCCACCAAATATTCCTTTTATAGGCAAGATTATTGAAAAGGTAGTTTTTAAAGGGGTCATATGACGTTGCTAAAAAGAACATTGTTGTGTATTTGGTGTAATGCAATGTGTTTATGTGGTTTAAGGTCGATTTTTACAAAGCTCATCGTTCTGAAAAGCGAGGTGTACGCTTATTGGCCAGCTATCCAGTGTGTTGTGATTGGCTGAATACCTCAAGCGTGTGACGGAAATTTTACGCCCCTTAACATACTGTGACGCTATCTCCCAGCACGACGAGATAAAACCCATTACAAACGAGGCATTTGTTGCATCCAGTGGGGACATAATTACTGATTATAATGGCTTGTACTGTGTTTTTACGCGTTGCGTTACGTATTGCACCGCGTAAACATAAAACCATGTCTGCATTTGTGATCGGAGAAACGACAAACAAACGAGAGCTACTCTACACTGTTTAAAAGTCGCGTTTGAATCATCAGTGGCAAATTTAAATATAAAAAAATTTACTTACAGGCTGTGAGTTAGAAGTGCCAGACTGTCCTTGCAAAGTTGGAACTGCCCCACTTTATAAAACAGCCTTTGAGCACAGACCCATTGTAGGCTATGCAGAACTGCAGGTTCAGGAAACAGTCCTCCATAAAATGCATCACACAGCGTCACACACTGCAGGCTAGAGTGAGGAACGTCCGGCGGTCTTGAGAATGGCGCGGCCGGTGGGCTTGTGGCAACCACATGTGATGACCCCGGGCTGGACTCCGCTTCGTCCACAGTGAAAGCCGATCCGGCGATCCACATTGCGAAGTTGATGTATTTCCTCAGCGATCAGCACGGATCAGCTCTAGGCATGACGAAGCGGATATCGTCCTTTTATGGAAGGCCAAACTAAGTAGTTTCGCTTTCACAACTAAACACACAGCATCTCCACAACATGGCAGTGGTGGCAACAACAATATTACAGGGAGAATAAAAGTTACACCTTCATTCTTTGCGTGAACATTTGGGCGGTGTTATGCAAATCTGTGTTAAGCGTGTCTGTGTCTGTGGGGCGTGTTAGAACGAGGCATTTTAGGAGGGCTTGGACAAGTCTTAACTTTTATAAAGAATAGCTCTTTGGATTTGAGACTTTATTCTTTGCAACTTTACAGATCTTCTTTATGCACCAAGAGCTTGTAACACTCCAAAGAGAAAGGAAAAATTTTAATCGCCTCATATGACCCCTTTAATCAGCTGAACAAAAACTCAAATGGATACCTGGACAATTTTCTGGTTTCCGACCACATTACAGCAAAGAGAAAGCACTCATTAAGGTAATAAATGATATTTGCCTAAATTCTGATTCTGGCAAAATATCAGTTCTGGTACTACTAGATCTCAGTGCTGCGTTTGACACTGTCAATCATAACATACTTCTAGAGCCAGAAAATCTGAGCATTTCACACCAGTCCTCAGGTCCTTACACTGGCTTCCAGTTATATTTAGGATTGATTTTAAAGTACTTTTACTCGTTTATAAATCACTCAATGGCCTAGGACCTAAATGCATTGCATATTTGCTCACTGAATATAAACCTAACAGACTACTCCTATCATTAGGATTGAGTCAGTTAGAAATACCAAGGGTTCACACAAAACAAGGGGAGTCCGCTTTTAGCTATTATGCTGCCCGCAGTTGGAATCAGCTTTCAGATGTACTAAAACATTAGCCACATTTAAATCTAGACTCAAAACTTATGTTTAGCTGTGCATTTATTGAATGAGCACTGTGCTACGTCCGAACTGATTGCACTATTTTATGCATACTTCTATTTTTAACTGTTTTAAGTTAATTTTAAGTTTTTAAATTCCTTGTTTTAATGTGATTTTTTTTAATGATTATTTTACTTTCTTTTATGTAAAGCACTTTGAATTACCATTGTGTATGAAATGTACTATATAAATAAACTTGCCTTGCCTACCTGCAGAAATTGCTGCATAAACACAGAAGGCTTGTTCTGTGGACATTGATAGTCTATGCATGTGGGTGTGAGCATGTGTATTCATATGTCATATGCATGTGTCTTTATGTCCATGCATGCAATTTAAACAGGAAGTTGGAGCAGGAATATAAAGAGAGTATGACGGCTCTGAGAGCAGAGCTTAGTAAAGAGATGGAGCTTGTGCAGCAGCAGGCCAATCAGCATCGAGAAGAGCTTGAACAGGAAATTGGCAAGATGAGAGAAGATGAAACCTTCCTACGAGAACATCTATCTCTCACCGTTAAAGTAATCAGCATTTTGGATTGAAGTTTTGTTTTGTTTTGTTTCAGCACCGTGAATTGCCTGCTACACACTTATGTCACATTCCTGTCAGCCTATATTTATTTGATTTGAATTGCAAAATGTATTGTATATTTTTGTCTTCAATAACTTTGTTGTGTAGGAAAATGGTCGTCTGGAGTCTGAGCTTATTGAGACCACAGAGAAACTGGTGGAGGCTGAAAACCAGCTGAACAAAGTGCAAAAAAACCTGGACGGTGTTTTGAAAGAGAAGGTGCTGGAATTAGCACAGACACAGACATCCGTACTGACATGAGGAGAAACATACAATAGTATGATGTCAATAGTAACATCTCAGACACACCTGTCTTTCCTGACATCACTTACTCAAGCCTATTAACATTACAAACACATCTTTCAAATTATTTACATCAGGTTTCATACTATCTTGATAAATCTGAGTATGTAAGGTAGCCTATATTTAAAAGTGTTTTCAAGACTAGGAAAAGTCATGTAAATTGATTAAAACATATAACTCTGTAGCCATTTTATACATTTTTATGAAAAACATTGTTCTAGTTATGCCAAACTCTAAAATATTTTCTGTTGTAGAAATTGTGAATACATATATCTTTGAAAATCCTCGTCTAGTAAATCATGATCAATAGGAGAATGCTTTTGTGTGTAGTTTGGTGATTTGGATCCAGACAGCGCAGAGTTTTATCAGCAGGAGGAGCGTCTAAGACAGCTGCGCAGGAACTACGAGGAGCAGTGCAGGGTCTGTAACCTCTCTGTTTCTGTTTACTTTGCTTTCATTTCATTCTATGATACTGTGTCACTCAAATTCATATCTATATCTGTATGTGTATTGTAGGAGTTGCAGGATCATATAGATGAGCTAGAAGCTCAGCTGGAGGAATATCAGACTTCAGGCCACACACCCTCAACACGTCCCGGACGGAGTCTGTCTGATGAACTGGCCGGCAAGAGTCCAGACCCAGGTAACATACTTGTCTGTTCATACTCAATACTCATAGATAATACTAAATGCTTGCAGTTGGAGTCCATCTTCTGTCACTCAGCTGTGCTCTTGTGTGTGTGCATTTGTAGGTTCTCAGGAGCAGCAGCCATTAAACATGAGTCTAGAGACTGAGATGTTACTGGAGCAGCACCAGCGAGAGATAGAAAACATCAGGGCAATGGTGAGACGCACGCGTGTACATACTAAAACTATGAAAAATATGGAAAACATTTATATTTGCTGTATTTGTAAATTGTTTGAAACCAAAGCATATTTGCATTCAGATCAGTTTGAATTTTACATTTTTTAAATACAATTTTAGGTGAACTGGACCTTTAAAAATTTTTATTTTTAGGTTAAATTTGTACTTTTAAGATAATGAACTGTACCTTTAGGAATTTTCATTTTTATATGAACTGTAACTTTAAGATAAAAGTAAATGCCAAACTATCCTTATTGTTTAAAGAATAAAAGTTGACTCTTCCTGTTGCTCTCTGATGCCCTCTGTAGGTTTATGAAGAAAAACGCAGTGCAGAGGAAGAGAGGAGTCATCTCTCCCTGCAGCACCAACAGGAGGTGCAGGCTTTGAGGGAGGAGCTGGCAAGAGAACAAGAGAGAGCGAACAGATTGGAGCAGGAAATTTCTGCCCTCAAAATTCTCCACCAGCAGGAGCTTCACTCTCTCATGCAGGAGGCACAGGACACCAGAAGCCGTGCAGAACAGCTGGAAGCAAAGGTGCAAATTCTGGAGGAAAAACAGACTGCCTATGAGGAGCAGATCAGAGTGCATGCTGAGGAGATGAGTCTGATGAAATCCAAGCACCAAGAGGTGCTGGAGGTCAATCTGCAGGCACAGAGAGAGAGACTGCAAGAGGAGAAGGAAAAGGAGGAGAAGAGGCTTAAGGAGCAGTGGAAAGAAGAGCAAAAGAGCTATGAGGAGGTGCTAAGTGCTCAGCTTGAGGAGATGCAGCATAGAACAGAACAGGAGTGTGTAGAGCTGGAAAAGAGGCTCAGGGAGGAGTGGGAGTGGGAGAGGCAGGATTTGGAGGAGAACAGTAAGGAGGCATTGCAAGCTGTGCTGGAGGAGAGAGAGCGGAGGCTCAAGGAGGAATGGGAGCAGGAGAGGCAGGAACTAGAGGAGATCAGTAAGGAGACGCTGCAGGCTGTGCTGGAGGAGAGGCTGGAGAGGGAGAGGAGGCTCAGGCAACAGTGGGATGAGGAGCGGGCTTCGTTAGAGAACAAACATCACACTCTGCTCCTACAGCGTTTGCAGGAGGAGAGGGAACACCTCCGCTCACAGCAGGAGGAGACAGAGAGCATTATAATGGAGCATTGGGGGAGAGAGAGGGCTCAGCTGGAGAAACAGCATGAGGAGGCACTTCAGGCCTGTTTGGAGCAGGAGAGAGAGAGACTGCAAGGAGAGAGAGAGGAGCAGGAGAGAAGGTGGCAGCAGGTGCTGAATGAAGAGCAGAGCCGGATGGTGGAGGCGCACAGGGAGGCCATGCAGGAGCTGAGTGCCAAACACAGTGAGGAGAGAGAAAGACTCAGCAGCCTTTTGGAGAAACTACGCTCAGATATTGCAGAACAGAGGTAAGACACACTAGTTAATATTACTAACTTTAAAGCTGCAGTCCGTAACTTGTTTTTGGTTAAAAATTATCCGAAATCAGTATTTGAGTATTATACTTATCTTATAATAATGTTTTCTGATGAGTGGTACGGGTAGGTTTTCGCGGGAAATTCGAGCATGTCGCTGCGTCATTATGTCACGTCTGTAAACATAAAGAAGTTGTCCCAGCTACTAGGCTATCGCATGTGAGGATCCTGCAGGTGGCCGGTCGTTTATAGCCTTTTCTCACAGCAGCTGGAATAATTAAATGTATCATTTTGATGGTGGATTGTAATCCAGAAAGGACTGTGTTTATGAAACACATGTGAATGAAATGAAATTATATTCCAGTTTTAAATGTGCTTCTGATTACAGATAGCCTGGGATTACACAAGATTTGTATTTTAAAGACAACCAGTTCGAAGGGAGCATAATTTGCTTTTTAGGTTAAAAGAATTTCTTAATATGAAATTCGAATGGTTTGACAATTAGAAATTAGACTGTACAGAAATTGAAATCTACAAGCTAATACACGTAATGCTGATGTTGTTAACATTAACAATTTGAGAATAAAGTATAACAATAATAATAATTTGCACAGTTTGATGTGATATGAGCAAACCGATCTTTAGATTAAATCACCATTGTTAGCGCGACTTATTGTAATGCTTTTTCCTTAGTTGGTCAGAACAAACATGGCAGACTTGTTACTTGTTCAGATGACAATATACGGTGAAAATTCTTATTTGGGTCATATAATCCAAGACGTAGGCTAGAATCTGTGATTGCGAAGTACAGTAAATATCCACACCGGTGCGGTGACTGACTGCCACACACACATTCTCCTCAAAACATTAGATTCATCCGCGCTGGAGCCGTGCCGGAGCACAACCCACGCAAGGAAGATAATTCCGCGCACAGTTGCAATTGCAGGTTTTCAAATAGAGATGGCGACAAAGAGGCAAAACTTACGGACTGCAGCTTTAAACCTTTGCCATTTTTATATGTGATTACCTGTAAAAGAGAAGAAAAGTTGTTTTCAGAGAATGTATCTTTAAGTGTATGTTAAGCATTTTTAACTGGACTGTTGGTTTTAATTAATAAAAAAAATTGAGGAAATAATTTTTAGATGACATTTGAAAAGATGAACAAATGTAGACTTTTTGAAACTTTTTTTGAAACTACATTTTTGAAAGTTTTTAATAAAAAAGAACTAAAAAATAAAAAGTTTTAATAATAAGAACATTTAAAATCTTCTATAGGTTTTAATTTTCAGTGTATTTTATTGTGTATATGTGTGTGTGTGTGTGTGTGTGTGTATATATACAGTGGAGCAAATATATATATATATATATATATATATAATTTATTTATTTAAGGATTTTTTACTGGGGAAAAATTAATTAAAACTGGGTTTTGTTTTCCTTTTTGTTCCATTGTTCTTTAAAATATTTGGGGAATTTGGTCCTGTGTGTCATGCTTTTGGATTTAACAACACTCAACTTGTCATTTTGAAACCTACAAAAACCTCTATCAGCTATTCTTGTCTCCACTCTGCAATATAGTTGATGCATATTTCTTTTAGGTAATGTTATAAGCTGTTGATGTTGATTGGCCATGTACAGGAGAGCGCTGGAGAAACAATTCTCTCAGCGACTTGAAGAAGTGGAAGTTCGTTTCTATGGTGACCAAGAGGCAGTGTCTGAGCGTTTTCAGGTGGATGTACATAAACTCGAGCAACATTACCAAAGTGCTATTGCAGCACTTGCCCAACAGCATGCTGCAGATCGCGCCCACTGGGAGGAGGAGTCAGAGGCAGCCACCAAGGAGGCGGAGCAACAGTGGAAGCTTTTGAGGGAGGCGCTGGACCTAGAGAGGGAGGAGCTCCAAAAGGAGTGTCAAAGCCTTGAAGTTGCACACGCACAAGATATTAAAGCTCTGACAGACAAGAACCTACAGCTTCAGGCCGAGCTGGAGACTTTTGTCAGTGCTGCTCGAACCAAAGAAATTGAGCTGAGTCGCCAAATCAATGAGCTGCACAACCATGTGCAGGATAGGATGGAGACCAAAGACCTGCTGCTGGCACAAGCAGAGCACAAAGCCACTGAGCTGGAAGAGATGCTGAAGCAGGCTGTGGATGACTTCATCCAGGAGCGAGCAGAGCTGCAAAGAAGTCTGTCTGCTTTGGAGAGCAGGCGAGGGGAAATAATTTCATTTTCTGAGAACATGGAGCTGATAGGCAGAATCCAGGAAGGTGAGGAGCTCCTCTGTCAGGAATTAAAGGATGAGAGAAAGGCTCTGCTTGCAGAGAGAGATTCACTGGCATTGAGAGTGGTGCAGTTGGAGGAAATTGTGTTACAGTTGACAGGAACCACTGGAGAACCTTCTGCAGAACTTTCTCAGGAACCTTGCATAGAGTCCACTGTAGAAATCCTTGTAGAACCCAATGGAGATGACCTTGAAGAAATTTGTAAAGAATCTACAATAGAGCCCTTTGAAGAACTCAATGAAGAAACCTGCACAGAATCTACTGATGAAGTCAGTCCAAAGCACGTCATATGTGAGGAGTCTTCTGTAAACCGTGAAAAGGAAGTGGATGAAGTTACTGACCCAGACTTTGGTAATTCACAGCTACACAGATGCTCAGAGGTTGGAGTTACAAATGGTATAACTTTAAACTCTTGTGCTGATGGTAAATTAGACATAGCTGATGTAGAATCTAACAACAGTGGAATAGAAACCCCTGATTGTCCCAAAGAAAAGAAGAAAGAGACTAAGGAGAGACTCTGCAATCCTGGAGTGGATGGTTTTGAAGATACAGAACTGATTGAAGAGCTGAATGTTAAGAGCAATAGCACAGAAACTCAAGATGACACTTTGAAGATGGCAGAGGAGTATATTTTGAATGGCACAGAAAGAGAAGGTCATTTCTCTGCCGAATCTGATGATTCCTATAACCAAGAGAGCTTGCAACACCATGAATCTCCAAGCAAAGATGACACCCAGGCTGAATACAGTGGCAAACCAGTTGATCCTGAGACTGAAGAAAGTCCAGAGGATGGTATCAGCATTGCAAGTATTGAAAATGATATCAGGGCCTTTGTAAAGGAGGTTTGTACCCTGACTATAGTTGATACAGAGCAGGACAAAGTTGCTGATCTGAGAGATGTGTGCATGCAGGAGATCCTGGACCTTCAAGAAACCGTAATGCAGTACAGCAAAGCTATAGAATGCACTAGCTCTCATTTGCAGAGCCCTAAACGGCAGGATCCAGAGAAAGAGAATATCACACCTCAAGTACCAAAGCACTTTAAGCAAATGGTGGCCCCAATCAAAGATGTGCAACTTGCTGAGCTAGAGGTCTGCTTTGAGCAAAGCATCCAAGAGAACTTGCAGCTTGTAGACCGCAACAAAAAACTGGAGAGTAGAGTCGAGAGTCTGGAGGACAAGATGCACATAGTCCAGGACCTCCACAAACAGCTGGCGTCTGTGCTGGAAGAGACTGCACGAGTCCGAGTGGAGAATTCCAAACTGAAGGTTCTTGTCCAGGAACTTGATAAGCAGGATAAGGTGCCGCAGTGGGACTCTTCCGATACTTCACACAACTCAGAAATAGAAGATTCAACAAAGAAGATTGCTGCGATGGCAGAGCTTGAATTCTTCTGCATGGAGTTTGAGAAACAGAACTCTCATCTACACCGATCACTTGCTGATCTGCAGGGCAAATCTCTTAGGATCCATGAACAAATGCAAGAGAGGAGGTACCATGTGATGGTCCCCTGTTTTTCTTCTGTAGATCAGTATCCCCACTCTGCTCATCCCGTTTGCTCCCTGCTACTAAGTCAATTCTGCGTGAGTGCCTAGTTGTAGACCCTGCCTCTTTGCAGCGATAGAGCCCCATTCACCATCATTAATCCCTCACACACACTTACAACCTTCTGGTGCAGTTGTACTCAAGTTTTGTGACTAGATCTGCCTGTGTAGTGAACTGTTGCATATCTGTTTTGACCCAACCCTTGTCTAAATTTTTTAATTTCCAATGCACTGTGGAGCATGTTGTAAGTTTAACAGACTAAGGGACTGTTTACACCAAGCCTAATGCAAGTATGCAGTTTAGTACTACCAAGCAGATTTACGATGCACTCTGTGTTTAGGAGTGAAGTTTGTCGTCTGGCTAAAGAGAACATCATTCTGAGGCACAAGATCTCGACAGTAAGGGAGGAAGACTTGAGAGAGAACCAGGATGACCTGCAGTAAGACATGCACTCTGAGAGTTCTTAACTGTCCCATGTAAGAGCAGGTAAATGATGTGATAAATGTCTTTGTCTAGATTACATCACATCAAGCAAGGGAAGAGATCGGTACAAGCTGTTAGGAGACAGGTACGATTTAATTCCATTGCCCAGACAGTTAACTTTAAGGTGCTTGTAGAATTAAGATTCTTTATACACTTATGCGGTTGTCATCTGTCATTTTTATATTTAAAAGTATGTATGTGTTTAAATGTTTGTATTTAATGATTTGCATATGTCCACATACAAACACTCTTAAGTTCCTTTTCAGCTCTCTGAGCCTCGCCATCTAGGACAGCAGCTAGAGGAGGAGAATTTCTTATTACAGCAGAATGCAGATCATGTACTTCGACATGCACTCCAGGAAGTGATACGTCAACATGACAGCTCAGCCAATGAGAAGAATGGGGTATGGTTTTAAATGTGTCAGTTTCATAATAGTATGCTCAAGAGTTTGAGTGGCACGAACATTCATAAAAATAATTTTTCTCTGTGCCTGTCTTTTTCTATGCACGCATACACACTCGCTTACAGTTGTGTGATCGGGAGGATTTTGGTTCCAGAACAGAAAAGGAATTGCTTAGATCAGAACTCAATCGGTGCATAGAAAAGGTATAAAAAGCACACACACAGCTCACTCTGACCTGACTGTGTTTTTGTTTTTTGTTTGTTTGATTTTGTTTTATGTTTGGTGGTGTTTGTTTGCGTTTTTTTTCTTTCTTTCTTTTTTTTTCTTTCTTTTTTTTCATTTGGTTTTGTTTGATTTTTGTTTTTGTTCTCATTTTTATTTTGTTTGGGGTTTTCTTTAGAGTTGGTTTGTTTTCATTTGCTTTTGTTTGGTTTGGTTTCATTTGTTTTCTTTTTTTCTGTTTTTTGTTGTGTTTTGTTGTTTTTTGCTTTGTTGTAGTTTTTGTTTGGGGGGTTGGTTTTGTTTTTTCTGCTTTGAGGGACTTCTTTGGCAAATGTTTCTTGGTTTCCTTCAGGTCATGTCACTAGATTCATCTTTACAGACGGTCACTCAGCAGAACGCTCGTCTCAAATCTGACCTACGCATCACACAGCAAGAAAGAGATGCCCTTAAACAGGAAGTGATTTCTTTGCACAAACAATTGCAAGCTGCCAATGAGAAGGTGAGTATAGAGGACCCGAGCTTCTGTCATTTGTTAGATGGAGACACTGAAACAACGCTTTATCTCCCCCCACCCACTGTAACTATTTCTCTTCCTTCCTCCTCTCTTTCTCCATATCAGTTGTTGGAGGTTTCCGTTGTGTCTGCTAGTCAGCAACAGGGGAGGCGAGTGTGGGCGGAGCTTTCCGGGCTGATGGAGGCGGAGCATGCCTCACTTACAGAGGAGAACCAGCAACTCAAGCGACAGATAAGGGAGATGAGCTCAGAGCTCCAGTCGTCAAAGGAGCAGGTCAGAGCATGTTTACTAAACACCTCTGGCAGCCATAGGATGTGTGCAAGCAATTGATGACGAAGTTGATGTTCTTTTTTAGATCCGCCATCTGGAAGCATTAAGTGTGAAACATAGAGGATTTGTAAAATCTGCAGATCAAGAAAAATCAGCTTTGAAACGTGAAATGGAGGCTTTGCACACTCAGCTACTGTCAACACGGAACAAGGTTCCCCCTACCTCAATTCCCCAAATTAAACCTTTTAAACACTTTTTAGTGCTGGTCGAAGTCATGAACTAGCAGTTAGTCTTACTCTCTGGGTATTTGTTTCTTTTGTAATTACTTTATTAACCTTAAATAAATTAAACCTTTTAAACACTTTTTAGTGCTGGTCGAAGTCATGACCTAGCAGTTAGTCTTACTCTCTGGGTATTTGTTTCTTTTGTAATTACTTTATTAACCTTAAATTATGTTTCATATAGTAGGAACATGTTTGGTATGAATAAAATCACGATGTAGAGTTGGTTTGCTACCCTAGTACATTTGGCATCCCTGTCATCTAAACAAACACTTGTTCCCTCATCATAACACACTGATCCTCTGTTGTTTTAGGCTCAGCTGGCTGCAGTCTTGCCTTCGTCTCCTCTACAGTTGCCAGGGGAACAGAGAAGACCGCACCATAGCGACAGTCCAGACTTCAACATGCAGGTAACACACTTGCACCCAAACAATCAGCATCACAGCCAGGGCAAGATTTCTCTCGGGGGTTAGTGCATACTCTCTAACGGTGTCGGCGCAGCACACTCTGGGGAATATTTACTGTGCGTCTGGTCTTTTGGTGAATTGGGCTCGTTTGGTGTCCCTGTTTTCTCTATTCTGGAAAACAGTCGTCACTCGTATTCACACTTATGTGGGCAGCACTGGGTCTGTTCTTTCTGTAGAAGCAGTGTTAGAGTGACCCCTATGTTGTTTGTGAATGGTGTTGGATGATGCTCTTGGTGTGTATTTATTAAGTGTTTGTGGGTTTGTATCTGTGCAAGTCTGTTCTATCACAGCTCTCTGTGTATGTGGATATAAGACGTGTGCATATAGCGCTGTGTGTATGTTTCTACAGGTAAGAGCTGTGACATCATCACTAACAGACATAGAAGAATTGCAGCCTGTGACATCACCTCCCCTTTGAACTCTGATCTTTAGTCTGTGTGGTCCAATCACCGAACCCTTCCTGCCAGATTTGGTTGTTGTAGTTTAAGTTGTTGGGGTCAATGTAGCTTTGCAGCTGGTAATGACCTAAATCTGCCACAAGGTGGCATCATGTTGCAAGTACAATGTACTGTGAGTTGTTTCCTCTTTGGCCCAGATGTTGCCACACATGGAGTAAAATAGAATTTTGACATTTAATGCTATTAAGGGCAGTACAATCTATGATTATGAATTCATTTTAAGATCTTAAGACATTTTAAATAAGTAGTATTGTTTGTTTTTTTGCACTGCTTTGGCATCACAATTTTAATGTGTGATACCACACTTCAGCTGTAATGAATGATTGTTCTGAGAAAAATCCATCTTTTTAAAATTTAATTATAATTTTTTTTTTTTCACCGAACCCTTCCTGCCAGATTTGGTTGTTGTAGTTTAAGTTGTTGGGGTCAATGTAGCTTTGCAGCTGGTAAGGACCTAAATCTGCCACAAGGTGGCATCATGTTGCAAGTACAATGCACTGTGAGTTGTTTCCTCTTTGGCCCAGATGCTGCCACACATGGAGTAAAATAGGATTTTGACATTTAATGCTATTAAGGGCAGTACAATCTATGATTATGAATTCATTTTAAGATCTTAAGACATTTTAAATAAGCAGTATTGTTTGTTTTTTTGCACTGCTTTGGCATCACAATTTTAATGTGTGATACCACACTTCAGCTGTAATGAATGATTGTTCTGAGAAAAATCCATCTTTTTAAAATTTAATTATAATTTTTTTAATTTATTAAAACCTCAATCCATTGCTTTATCTACCTCTACATGTTTTACTGGATAATTTGCATCACTGATTTATAATTAATGAATGGTGTTTATTTATTGATTTATTTTATTTTATTAGATGTATTATTCTGTTGGATGTTTTACTTGGTTTAAATGTGATATGTCCCTTATTGATGTGAATGTGTTTTTATATATATATATATATAAAACATAACTGAGTCCAAATAAACTATTAACTGAAATAATTTGTGTAGTGTATTTAATTTAATTTTTTTTAAAAATGCTTACTCTTGGTTGTCTGTGACTTATTTACATGTCCCTTATTTTACACCATTTATATTTAAAAAAAATGTTTTCATTTATTTCCATTGCTTTTATATAATCTATTTTAGGTTGTTTGTTTGTTTTGCTCATATATCTATTTTAGAGTTTTTTTTTTTTAGGTTTGTAAGGAAGGGAAGGTACAGAAACTAAGGCCGTGGATTTCTAGCAGACCAATTGACCTTAATCTGTCATGACCTCTGACCTTGATCTGTATGCCCAGCAGGACGAGCGGGAGGTGGTGCTGTTACAGATGGAGGAGAGAATGAGAGAAGTGGAGCTCACGCTCAGAAACCTCAAACTGCTGCTACAGGAGAAAGTGTCTCAGCTGAAAGAGCAGGTACAGAAATACACAGATGTCCTCCCCTGCCCTTTAACACATTCTTGATAATGCATTTTACTCCGTCAAACTCAGACTTCCAACATAACCGTTCTGTTCTCTCTGCTTCTGTAGTTGATCAGGAACAGTGAATCGGATGTGTTGATCAAAGACCTCTACGTGGAGAATGCTCAACTGCTCAAAGCCCTGGGGAAGACAGAACAGCGTCAGAAAGTAGCAGAAAAGAAGAACTTCCTCCTGGAGGAGAAAATTTCCAGCCTCAACAAGATTGTCCGTGACCTCGGCCCTTCCCCATTGACTCCTGCGCCCTACCACTACTCACGCTCATGATTTTAAACTGTATTACATATGATTTTAGTCATACAAGCCATTCCAGTATGATTTTCTTCTGAGAAACATGTTCGAGCTGCTCTATATACGTCAAGCTCCAAAAAGGACAAGAAATACAAGTAGTCCATATGACTTGTGCACTATATTCTCTGAAGCCATACAAAAGCTTTGCGTAGTGAACAGGCTGAAATTGTATTGACTGAAGATCTTCCGTTCATAGATCCCAAATCTCCTTCCCATTCATTTTTATTTCTAGGTGAAACTTTCCTTTAAGTTATTTTTTTTAATTTTTTTTATTGCTTTTAACAATTTAATTTTATAGCAGTTTTTTTTATTAAGCCATACTGTAATATTACTGGTGTATCTGGACCTCAAACTGCAATTAGAAGGTGGTCTTAAGGAATGGTGAAATTCCTTCTATCTAGAGAAGCTTGTACAACAGCTGAGGCTCCCCTGTTCACACACACACACACACACACACACACACACAGCCACCTATCATTACATAGTTGTAGTGAAATGCAAACAAGGTCAGTGATTCCCTGCATCTCAGAGAAGGAAATTAAAGGGCAAATGCCACAGTGTTTCTTCACTGTTTATTACTGTTTGTTATAGTGCATTTTATTTCTTTGGGATTGTTTAGTTAATATAAACCTTTTCACTTGAGAATGTGCACCAAAAACATCCCATAATGTTACTTTAGTTGCCGCAGGACTTTGTGCTTTGTATTTATTTTGTGTACCTATTTTTCATTTATGATCTGTAATCATGTATTATGAGCACTGTGAATATGAATAATAGGGAGTCAATTAAAATATTTATGTGGGGTAGAAGAAACTCAGAGCTCGGAGATGTCAGCCTTGTGGTAACCACTGTATAATTTGTGGGTGGAGAGCAAAATTGCTGGTTATGATGTTTCATTTCAGGCGTCTCTCAACGAGTGCAGTTTACAAGCTTTGATGCTTTGGGAAAAAATGCACAGAGAATTACAGGCATTTAAACATTTTGAAATTGCTTTGAAATATGTGTCCTTATGTTTTTAGCATTGTAACCCAGCCTTAGGTGAAGTATAAGATATGCTCTACCGATATTTGTTATGAAAATAACGTTAACTTACCCTTTAAGTGTTAATTGTATAACACTTGGTTCAGATGTAAAAACGCAACATTCTTTTTTTGTAAAAAATAAAAAAAATAGTTTTAGCAAACACTGGGTTTGAGTTTTCATTTATATATAATGAGAGAGAGATAGAATAGCTTAGTTTAAATATTTTATGTATTTATTTTTATTGTTATTTTGGTAAATCCCACATAAATAAATACACAACTGCTTATATAAAACAGCTTATATGAAATTGAGTTTGACATCCTAATTTTCTGAAGGTGGCGTACGTTCTTTCACTGTCTATTTGTTGAAAAAGAAGCTTACTTTTAAGGGTTTCTGGCCCTATTTTGTACCCTGTTCGTGGAAGGTACTTCTGTCATTTATATTGAACCTAATGTGTTGAATGAATCATCACAACAGTCCTGCAAAACCACAAAAAAATGTGAAAGATAGGGGGAAAAGTCAAATATTTCCCACAATGCTTTGCTCCTATGAGGACCTGGTTTAGGGAAGGTCTGATCTGGGATCAGGCTGCTGTGGGGACTCGAGAGCGCGATCCAGAGAGACTTGATCTGGGATCAGGCGAAGGGGGCAGTTAAACAGAAAAAAAAAATCTCATAAACATGCTTTTGCAAGTAAGCTGTTTTTGCGATACTAGTACAACTCTTTGAATCTGAAAATAAAGTAAGCTGTTCTGGAATCAAGCAGATGGAAGTTATGGATCCAAACAGCTGATCTGAGATCAGGTGGCGAGGAGGGATCCAGTGAGAGCTGATCTGGGATCAGAAGGAGACTGAGGGCTGGGTTGGGTTGGACATATTCAGCTGGTAAAAGTTTTCTTGCGCTTTTCTCTGGGCGTATTTTGGTCAGCGCGCACGGGGAGCGCTAATTAATCATCGAAAAACGTTAGTAATGTTCGACTAAACACTTAAAACAAGGACACGTTCGCCAAATGCAAACTAATCGCCAGTGTGTTTCTGTTTTCAGTCTGTAACGTTAGCCATGATGACTCCAAACTAGCTTTCGGGCTAAACGCTCCGAAATGGACTCGGTTTTGAGTGTCAGTGCGAATCTAGATCCGGATTTCAGGATGAAACCGAAGTCTAATCGGTCCAGAATCGATTCGGATTAACGATGCTCTCTAGAAAGAAGAGTAAAAACGAAGCGTCCAAGCCAGCAGAAGTTCAGGGCAAATATGTGAAGAAAGAAACGTCCCCGCTTCTGAGAAGTGAGTAACTTCAGTCAATCTGCCTAACAAAACCCACTAAATAGAAAATAAGCCATTAAATAATCTGCATTTTTATATAACATACTCTTTCGGCGTATGTTGGAGTATAACACTTTTGAGAATGAAACCTAATTTAAGTGTCTGTATGTTTAATGAATTAAATGTCAATACAAGTCAAGCTTCGTCACACTAATTGTTGCTTAAACAACTGACAGAAACAATATGTACACTGTTACACACTCTCCGCATAATAGATGTATATTGTAAACCTGGGAATACCTTTTGCATTAAAAAAAAAAGATAATTTGTCATATGTTCGTATTGAATACTGCGATTTAAGTGTCATTTCATATAAAATGGTCCACTTAAAATATCACACTTAGTTTATTTTTAAAACAAAGAATATTTTTGACACACACTTTACCCTATTTCAGAAATGGATTTCTCATTTTCTGATTTTATTATTATTTTTAAACTATGATTTAAACTTTCTCCATAACAGGATTGGCACAGCTATAATAGAGTACAAATTAAAATGGCATTTTGTAGTTATGTGAATAACATCTGTTTGTATTTATTACCTAATTTTGAATAACCTCATATTAACACTATTGTCATTTAATGTTGCGTAGTTCTTTAATTGTAAGTTAAAGTATCAGGGCATAATTGGGTAGATAGTAAGTCAAAGTACTCACAAACACACACACACACACAAGATGCAAATTAGCCACAAATATATTTTGCATAATATAGTCATAGACTTCTACTTGTATTGGGGGACAAAAATGTAGAAATCCAATTTTTTTCACTATTATTTTTGTAAGAAAAACTTTTACACATTTAAACCATTACTCGAGACATCCGAAAAAAATTGTAGTCCAGTAAATCAAAATAATTTAAATATGTAATATTTCTTTTTATTTTAGAAATATTAATTCTTAAAAACAGTTCTTAAAAGGCAAAAAATTGTAGTAATGAAGACATTTTGAGCAACTTTGTTTTGCATCACTGTCACTCTTTTCTGGATAATTGAATATTGAATTTTATGGTAGACTTTATCTTGAGCATTCTTTACAAAATAAATATTGCAAAGTATGTTTTAATCCACTTACCCCTCTTCTGCCTCCCTCATGGTTTGTTCCAGATTTGATGCCCTCGTTTATCCGGCATCCAACGTTTCTTCGCCGTGAGCCCCCGTTAGTGGAGCCAGTTCCGGCCGGGGTGTCTGGTGCAGGTCCATATTCCTCTGGATCTGTTGGGGATGTTAGCGTCACCAAGAGTTTCCTGCGCAACGCCCCTCCACGGACCCCCCTCGAGGTGTCACGCAGGGAGAGTCATCGGCTGTCTGCTCCACCACACCTTCATTGTGATTACTCCCCTTCCTCGCCATCTTACATGAGCGATGCTGGTTCGGTATCAGAGAATGGAGACGGCGGCCCGTTTTACTACCCTCCAGAGCCGTACTACAATAACCAACCCAGGCGAGCACGCAGACCAGACCACTTTAATGAGAACTACAGGTACTATGAGCACAATGAACTCAGCTATCCACGAAACCCTGGACAGCCTCAGACGCCCCAGCCTCACAGTCGCCCACCCCCAGGTGAGTAACACATCATCTGGCATGCAATAACACTACATGCACCGACTCGCATGCATTATAAAAGACTCCTCATGAAATAACAAACATGATGACTGTCACTCTGTACTATAAATACACTGTGTTCCAAATTATTATGCAAGTGACATATCAATAGGATTTCGGTACAATAAAGAGTCAGATTTTTTAGATCTTTTTAGATAACTGGTATCAATCTCAGACAGGTTTGTTCAATAGTTTGCCAGCTCTTCTTAGGTAAATGGAAACAAAGAGGTTGTTCCACATTATTAAGCAAGTCACAGTTCTCATGCAATATGGTGAGGAAGAAAGATCTTTCTGAAGATGAAAAGTATGAAACAATGCAATGTCTTGCCAAAGGCATCAAAAGAAATAACATTTTGCGAAAAGCAAATAGAGATTATTGAACTGTCAAAAGATTTGTGAGTGACTTAGAGCACAGAAGATCTTGGTCAGATAAAGAGTTATTAAGGAAAGTTTCTGTCAAACAAATGAACTGTATTGTAATGCCAGCTGTAAAAAAGCCACTGCTGAGCAGCAAACAGGTGTTTGAAGTTACTGGAGTCTCAAGATCCTCTCCATGCAGACTGGCAGTTGTGTGTTAAACTGCGTTTCAGTCACTGCTAACCAAACCTCACAAAGAGAAACCTGCACAAGAATTAGAATAAACCTAATTAGAATTGGAGAAACCTTCAAGCTTAACTCGAATCAACATCTAACCTGGCCATCTCAATACCTGACTTGATTATCAAATTATTGTTGGCAGTTCTGGAGAGAAGTGTTAGAAGCCGATTCCCACCTCTAACTTTTCTAAAGTAGTTCTCAGATGTTCTGAGGGATGATATTCCACTGGAGACTATTCAAAAATTAAATGAATCTTTTCTAAGAAGGTTGGAAACTGTAATAAAGGCAAATATAAATATACTCTTTATGGATGAGAGAATCGTTTGCCTTGACTACAGCTTAACCAGCCATGATGAGTGACATGACATTTTGCTGGTTTCTATTTTTGTAATGGCATGCCCACCCTGAAATTTCATTAGTCCTAAATCTTGTGTTGCATAATTAATAAATGTATACTAAACATCAGATATGTTCAGATTGACTCTCTTAGGGAAGTCGTGGCCTAATGGTTAGAGAGTCGGACTCGTAGCCCAAAGGTTGTGGGTTCGAGTCTCGTACCGGCAGGAATTGTAGGTGGGCGGAGTTGAATGTACAGCGCTCTCTCTCCCACTTTCAATACCACAACTGAGGTGCCCTTGAGCAAGGTACCGAACCCCCAACTGCTCCCCGGGCGCCGCAGCAAAAAAATGGCTGCCCATTGCTCCTGGTGTGTGTTCACTGCTGTGTGTGTGCACTTTGGATGGGATAAATGCAGAGTACTAATTCCTTGTATGGGTCACCATACTTGGCCACATGTCCCTTCACTTCTTCACTCACTTCACTTAGTGTGGCTGATTGCTTGTGTTGTGGACAGACAAATCACATAATGTTGAAACTGTAGCTTGAAATCTGCTAAGAATGTCTGCATTTATCTCTTCCTGTAGTGTTTCTGTCTTGCTGATTGCATTAAATGAAGATGCATCCGTTTCTATGATGGACAGCTTTGCAGTAATGTGGTTGGGTCAGATTAGTGACAGAATTGTATATTAATATTTTGTCTCCTATAATATGCAGATGGGTTCTTGGTTTCTTCATCAGAATGAACTTGTTGTTCTCAGATTAATCAGATTAAAACAGTGGCCTCAAAGTATTTGCACACCTAAGCCATACTTGAATGTACAAAATTCATACATAAGTGTTCAAATACTTTTGGGACAAGTATATATTTATGGGTGTATGAGTGAGATGAATCTCTAGAGCTATTGAGCAGGAGGAGAGATGTGAAACTGTACACTGACGTCATCGCACATTCCAGCTCTGACTCTCACACGCACAAACACAGTTCCCTCATAAAACATATGCTCATGATTAAAGCGGAGTGATATATCTAAAATCATGTCTTTATATTATATGGTATTGTATTGTATTGCTGATTTGATGTTCAGGAAAGGTTTCTTAATATTAGACAAAGATTATTATGGTTTTTGTGGAAACCATAATACAATTTTTCCAGGATTCTTTGAAGAATATAAAGTTTAAAACATAAAGTGAATGTTTTTGAGTGAAGCAAACATGTCATTAGAACCGATTCATAAAAAATGAGAGAATCGTTTGCCTTGACTACAGCTTAACCAGCCATGATGAGTGACATGACATTTTGCTGGTTTCTATTTTTGTAATGGCATGCCCACCCTGAAATTTCATTAGTCCTAAATCTTGTGTTGCATAATTAATAAATGTATACTAAACATCAGATATGTTCAGATTGACTCTCTTAGGGAAGTCGTGGCCTAATGGTTAGAGAGTCGGACTCGTAGCCCAAAGGTTGTGGGTTCGAGTCTCGTACCGGCAGGAATTGTAGGTGGGCGGAGTTGAATGTACAGCGCTCTCTCTCCCACTTTCAATACCACAACTGAGGTGCCCTTGAGCAAGGTACCGAACCCCCAACTGCTCCCCGGGCGCCGCAGCAAAAAAATGGCTGCCCATTGCTCCTGGTGTGTGTTCACTGCTGTGTGTGTGCACTTTGGATGGGATAAATGCAGAGTACTAATTCCTTGTATGGGTCACCATACTTGGCCACATGTCCCTTCACTTCTTCACTCACTTCACTTAGTGTGGCTGATTGCTTGTGTTGTGGACAGACAAATCACATAATGTTGAAACTGTAGCTTGAAATCTGCTAAGAATGTCTGCATTTATCTCTTCCTGTAGTGTTTCTGTCTTGCTGATTGCATTAAATGAAGATGCATCCGTTTCTATGATGGACAGCTTTGCAGTAATGTGGTTGGGTCAGATTAGTGACAGAATTGTATATTAATATTTTGTCTCCTATAATATGCAGATGGGTTCTTGGTTTCTTCATCAGAATGAACTTGTTGTTCTCAGATTAATCAGATTAAAACAGTGGCCTCAAAGTATTTGCACACCTAAGCCATACTTGAATGTACAAAATTCATACATAAGTGTTCAAATACTTTTGGGACAAGTATATATTTATGGGTGTATGAGTGAGATGAATCTCTAGAGCTATTGAGCAGGAGAAGAGATGTGAAACTGTACACTGACGTCATCACACATTCCAGCTCTGACTCTCACACGCACAAACACAGTTCCCTCATAAAACATATGCTCATGATTAAAGCGGAGTGATAGATCTAAAATCATGTCTTTATATTATATGGTATTGTATTGTATTGCTGATTTGATGTTCAGGAAAGGTTTCTTAATATTAGACAAAGATTATTATTATGGTTTTTGTGGAAACCATAATACAATTTTTCCAGGATTCTTTGAAGAATATAAAGTTTAAAACATAAAGTGAATGTTTTTGAGTGAAGCAAACATGTCATTAGAACCGATTCATAAAAATGAATCAAAATTACCAACTCGAACAGTATTTTGCTACTAAAGTGTAAACAAGAGATGAGATATTTACAGTGTTACTCAGTTTATTTTGCCAGCCCTGCTCAGTCCATGATTTTCTCTGTACACACTTTTGCCTAGTATACACAAACTTTCTGGGCTGTCACTCTCCTGTAGTATTTCTCATTGTGTGTGTGTTTTTCCTTGTGTTGAACTTTTCATGGTCTTCTGGGGTTTTTTGCTTTAGATTTGACCCTGCAGCTGTGACTTGTTGTTTTCTCCCCATCTCTCTTTCATATCACTTCATCACCTTTGTGTTCAAATTAAAAATAAAAACAAAATCTCATTCTAATATACACACTGAATAATTTCCTGCATACAGATCTGTAATACTTCCATGTGTTTGTTGTTTTCTAGCGATCGGCCGTGTGCCAGCAAAGTCGGTGGGTAATCTGACGACCATGAGCGGGGAGGAGGCGGCTCTTCCTCCTGGCTGGACTGTTGATTGGACGATTCGAGGCAGGAGGTATTACATCGATCACAACACAAACACCACTCATTGGAGCCATCCGCTGGAGAGGGAGGGGCTTCCGCCGGGCTGGGAGAGGGTGGAGTCAGCTGAGTTTGGAGTGTATTATGTTGACCACATCAACAAACGTGCCCAGTACAGACACCCCTGCGCACCCAGGTGAGTGTCGAGAGACGTTCCAGTACATTCTGAGACTGTTTGGTGCCATTTTGTATCTAAAATACACCATCTCTGCTTTTGCTCAGTGTTCCACGTTACGACCAGCCCCCTCCCCCGCCAGTCACCTACCAGCCCCGCCCACCAGAGCGCAACCAGCCCGTACTGGTACCAGCAAACCCGTACCACACAGCCGAGATCCCAGACTGGCTGCAGGTGTATGCTAGAGCCCCGCTGAAGTAAGTGTCACATGCACTCATTGTCACACACTGAGGGTGGCAGAAATCTTTCACAAACACTCCAATCTCCATCACAGATGGGCGCTGCGGTTGTAGGCAGCTTCATTGGTTGTAATGGGAGTGCTTTAACTTTGATTTGATGTGATTATAGATTATGTTCAGGGTTGCTGAGCAATGTTGCAACTTGTCGCATTAATATAGAATTTAGCTGATGTGCAGTCACAAGTGTGCAACTATGAATATCAGGTTTTTTACATTTTTTGGGGGGCGACATAAAACTGACGCTTCTTGATGTTTATAACGTCTTTTAGTATTATTTATATACTATACTATTATATAATATTATAGTATTTATTCATATTTTGAATAGCCTTTTTATATTTTGTTTTAATTTGTCATTTTATGTGCTTTTTTTCATATTTCTATTTAGCTTTTATTTTATTTATAATAATATACATATTTATATATTATTGATTTATTTCAGTTGTATTTTTTAGTAATTTCAGTACTTCCAATTCAGCTTATTTCAGTTAGTTGTCAAGCAGTCTCAGGCTCAGATATCATGCTTATGAACCGATGGTATCAGACCGTTGTCAAGAAAAAATATATTAATTTCATTTATGGTTTTGTTTTTTGTCATATATATATGTATATATAGTCTGACCGTATGAGAAGTACCCAAAACCCTTCTAAAATCGAAGAGACCAGTGATGGGAGACCAGCAACCCAGTTTAGGCTAGATTAAGATGTTTTCTTCAGCAGGGACATCGGGCAGAAGATTTCTCACTTAAAAGTTTTTTTCCCCATTGGCTGGTTCCTGGAAGCCATTAGAGGCTGATAACTGGTTTTAATGAGGGAGTCTGGTAAGGGGCGATGCCATTAACCTTCAGTCATATTAGTGTGTGTTTGTGCTTTGTCTCAGGTATGACCACATCCTGAAGTGGGAACTCTTCCAGTTGATGGATCTGGACACGTATCAGGGGATGCTGAAGCTGCTCTTCATGAAGGAGCTGGAGTGCATCGTTAAATCCTATGAAGCATATCGACAAGCGCTGCTCACTGAACTCGACACGCGCAAACAGCAGCAGCAGTGGTATGCCCAACAACCAGCCAAAAACGTCCCTCCTAACATGTGACTTGTATGAGATATACCCAAAGTCCATCGTTATCACACTGATAACGATGGAGACTTTTAGCTGCTGTTGCAGACTCTCATTTATTCCCTCAAACGGCTCCAAATATTAGCCCAAAGAGAGACACCACATAAAGCCTGTTGGAAACTTTACACTATTACTCCTATATATCCTTATCAGCCATTATACGGCTGTGTGTGTTCTGAGTCTATGCTTGGTTTTGACTGTGTTGTGAATGTGTTTGCACATGTTGAGAGTATGTTTCTTTGTGCATGTCAGGACTGTGAGGACTCACTCCTTCTGCATTGTCTTTTTGGACAATCACAACTATCAGTTATCAATGTTTTAATGTTTAATCAGACTCATGTTTTCAATTATAGTTTTGCTTTTAGAGTGAATCTCATCTAAAATAAATAAATAAATAAAAACTCATCCAGGTCACATTTCACCTCAAAAAATTTTTTTAAAAATAAAATAGAATTTATAGTTTGCATAAAGAAAATGAAGCTTGATTTAGGGTTATGTAAATCAGCATAAATTAATGATTTTACATCAAGTACGAGCATGATGTATACTTTACAATTATAAAAAATTGCAAAAATCATTAGTTTTGCCTTACAGTAATGAGTTTTGTTGTTTGTTTGTTTTTTGCATTATATTGATAATGCAAGTAATGCAATAATCTTCACGGTACTTTATTTTCTTCAAGTAAATTATATGTTCTTGTTTCTTGTGATTTCTGGCATGGCGAAATATGACTTGGGCATTTCTTGGAGGTTCATCCTTTAAGGTTTAGGTGGATTCCTTTTTTAAGGAATTTGCTGCTTGTATTTAAAAGTGAAAATTTCACCTTGTATGAAGTGTTTGAGCCTGCAGCATTTTTTTGTCTGTATTTTTCAGTTAATATGACTGTAATTATTATGGTTTTTGTGGAAACCATAATACAATTTTTCCAGGATTCTTTGAAGAATATAAAGTTTAAAACATAAAGTGAATGTTTTTGAGTGAAGCAAACATGTCATTAGAACCGATTCATAAAAATGAATCAAAATTACCAACTCGAACAGTATTTTGCTACTAAAGTGTAAACAAGAGATGAGATATTTACAGTGTTACTCAGTTTATTTTGCCAGCCCTGCTCAGTCCATGATTTTCTCTGTACACACTTTTGCCTAGTATACACAAACTTTCTGGGCTGTCACTCTCCTGTAGTATTTCTCATTGTGTGTGTGTTTTTCCTTGTGTTGAACTTTTCATGGTCTTCTGGGGTTTTTTGCTTTAGATTTGACCCTGCAGCTGTGACTTGTTGTTTTCTCCCCATCTCTCTTTCATATCACTTCACCACCTTTGTGTTCAAATTAAAAATAAAAACAATCTCATTCTAATATACACACTGAATAATTTCCTGCATACAGATCTGTAATACTTCCATGTGTTTGTTGTTTTCTAGCGATCGGCCGTGTGCCAGCAAAGTCGGTGGGTAATCTGACGACCATGAGCGGGGAGGAGGCGGCTCTTCCTCCTGGCTGGACTGTTGATTGGACGATTCGAGGCAGGAGGTATTACATCGATCACAACACAAACACCACTCATTGGAGCCATCCGCTGGAGAGGGAGGGGCTTCCGCCGGGCTGGGAGAGGGTGGAGTCAGCTGAGTTTGGAGTGTATTATGTTGACCACATCAACAAACGTGCCCAGTACAGACACCCCTGCGCACCCAGGTGAGTGTCGAGAGACGTTCCAGTACATTCTGAGACTGTTTGGTGCCATTTTGTATCTAAAATACACCATCTCTGCTTTTGCTCAGTGTTCCACGTTACGACCAGCCCCCTCCCCCGCCAGTCACCTACCAGCCCCGCCCACCAGAGCGCAACCAGCCCGTACTGGTACCAGCAAACCCGTACCACACAGCCGAGATCCCAGACTGGCTGCAGGTGTATGCTAGAGCCCCGCTGAAGTAAGTGTCACATGCACTCATTGTCACACACTGAGGGTGGCAGAAATCTTTCACAAACACTCCAATCTCCATCACAGATGGGCGCTGCGGTTGTAGGCAGCTTCATTGGTTGTAATGGGAGTGCTTTAACTTTGATTTGATGTGATTATAGATTATGTTCAGGGTTGCTGAGCAATGTTGCAACTTGTCGCATTAATATAGAATTTAGCTGATGTGCAGTCACAAGTGTGCAACTATGAATATCAGGTTTTTTACATTTTTTGGGGGGCGACATAAAACTGACGCTTCTTGATGTTTATAACGTCTTTTAGTATTATTTATATACTATACTATTATATAATATTATAGTATTTATTCATATTTTGAATAGCCTTTTTATATTTTGTTTTAATTTGTCATTTTATGTGCTTTTTTTCATATTTCTATTTAGCTTTTATTTTATTTATAATAATATACATATTTATATATTATTGATTTATTTCAGTTGTATTTTTTAGTAATTTCAGTACTTCCAATTCAGCTTATTTCAGTTAGTTGTCAAGCAGTCTCAGGCTCAGATATCATGCTTATGAACCGATGGTATCAGACCGTTGTCAAGAAAAAATATATTAATTTCATTTATGGTTTTGTTTTTTGTCATATATATATGTATATATAGTCTGACCGTATGAGAAGTACCCAAAACCCTTCTAAAATCGAAGAGACCAGTGATGGGAGACCAGCAACCCAGTTTAGGCTAGATTAAGATGTTTTCTTCAGCAGGGACATCGGGCAGAAGATTTCTCACTTAAAAGTTTTTTTCCCCATTGGCTGGTTCCTGGAAGCCATTAGAGGCTGATAACTGGTTTTAATGAGGGAGTCTGGTAAGGGGCGATGCCATTAACCTTCAGTCATATTAGTGTGTGTTTGTGCTTTGTCTCAGGTATGACCACATCCTGAAGTGGGAACTCTTCCAGTTGATGGATCTGGACACGTATCAGGGGATGCTGAAGCTGCTCTTCATGAAGGAACTGGAGTGCATCGTTAAATCCTATGAGGCGTATCGACAAGCGCTGCTCACCGAACTCGACACACGCAAACAGCGGCAGCAGTGGTATGCCCAACAACCAGCCAAAAACTTCCCTCCTAACATGTGACTCGTATGAGACACACCCAAACTCCAGCCTTATCAGTGCCTTAGCTGCTGATGCAGACTGTCATTTACTCCCTCAAACAGCTCCAAATATAAGCCCAAAGAGAGACACCACACAAAGCCTGTTGGGAACTTTACACTATTACTCCTATATATCCTTATCAGCCATTATACGGCTGTGTGTGTTCTGAGTCTATGCTTGGTTTTGACTGTGTTGTGAATGTGTTTGCACATGTTGAGAGTATGTTTCTTTGTGCATGTCAGGACTGTGAGGACTCACTCCTTCTGCATTGTCTTTTTGGACAATCACAACTATCAGTTATCAATGGTTTATTGTTTAATCCGACTTTTATTTTCAGTTATAGTTTTGCTTTTAGGGTGAATCTCGTTAAAAAACTCATCCAGGTCACATTTCACCTCAAAAAAAAGAAAGAAAGAAAATGAAGCTGAATTTAAAGTTATTTAAATCAGCATGAATGAACGGTTTTACATCAAATACGATCATGATGTATACTTTGCAATTTAAATAAATTATAAAAATCGCTAGTTTTTGCATTACAGTAATGAGTTTTTTTATATTGAAATAATGCAATAATGAAAATAATGCAATAATCTTCATGGTGCTTCATTTTCTTCAAGTAAAATGTATATTTTTGTTTCTTGTGTTTTGTTTTGTTTTTTGGGAGGGTGAAATATGACTTGGACATTTCTTTGAGGTTCATCCTTTAAGATGTAGGTGGATATCTTTTTTTAAGGAATTTGCTTATTTAAAGATGAAACTTTCAGGCAGAGTCGTCACTTTGTATGAAGTGATTGAGCGTATGGCATTCATTTTTTTCAAGAGGTTATTGCCTGTATTTTTCTGTTATTATGTCTGTTTGTAAAAGCTATTTTGAACATCAACACTAAATAAACCAAGACCTTGTATTGTGTGTGAGAGATGTTCATAAAGTGTCTTTCCAATTCAGGTTGCAAATATTTTTCTCTACTTCACAGTGATTTTTTTGCCATTATCCATATTAAATTTTGTTTGTACTTCATATTATATATAAGTAGAACAGAATACTATACAAGTATGTTTGATTTAATCCTTGAATATTTATTTTTCTTTCCAATCAAAAAGATTTTTTGCAGCTTTCAAGTAAGAATTCATTGAAAGCTGCTCTTCTATTCATATCTCAAGAGTACACCAAAGCCACTTAATGGAAAACAAATGCAAAATTCAACAATTTGGAAACAAAGTGCTACTGTTCAAAAAGCCAATCCTCAGTAGCATCACAGAGGTATCATCTGGAGCCTTCCTGAATTCCATGGATTTTATTCTACATTATATGTGTGGGGAAAAAAATCGGGATTCATAAAGGTAAAAACTGATGTGACATATTTTGCATTCTAACTTTTTGTGCTCATACCAGTCTTTTTTTTCATTAGCTCATACATGGTTAAAATGTGTTAATCTATGCTTGTGATCAATTATGTGTGACAATAAAGACCAGGGGCCCTATTAATAAACATGTAGAATGATCCTTAATATGAATGTACAACAGTTTCCAGAAAGTTCCTATGATTATAAATTGTCTATATGCACAAAAATTGTTTTGTCTCAAATTCTATAGAATCATCTCCTTCAACGGAATGCCCACAAATATCACTTTATGGTTCAAAAGAAGTCTTTATAAATGAATTTATGGCAGCCTATAGTCTTTCAAGAGCATAAGAGCTAATGAAACAAAATATATGATGCTATGAATGTCTATATAAATCACCAATATTCTTGGTGATTTTTTGTTATTGAAACACACTTGGCAAATGTTCTTTTCCCACTCCAGTAGACAGGAACTGTAATCACTTGGCTACAAATAGCGGCCCAGAAGCTCTGCCATGATGACCATTGAGTGGAGCAAATGTGCAGTATTTTCAGGTTTGATGTCCCAAACATGATGGGATGGAAGGCAAAATCTCTGTAACACGTCATTTGGCCCATGACAATGACTACAACTTGTGTTTTTAAACATGTAGTAGTTTATTCCCTTATAAATAGCACTGAACTCAACCTACGACATCCATTACAAAATAAGCACAGACTGCTTTCATGTGAGTGTCAGAGAGAGAAACAGTATTTACAGTGAGAAGATGGCAAAATGGTGAACTGTCAGAACTAATACTGATTTTCTAACGCAGGCACAAGCAACACAGTCAGACCGAATTTTTTCAGTCTGATTCTCTACACCGTCTGACCATGGGCCTGAGCTGTAGGTGCAGGATGTTGCTGTGGTGGGTGATTGTGGCGATATGTTCCTGTTGCAGCGTTGAACAGTCCCGCGTCTCTTTCTCTCTCTGACTGTACGCTCCACTGTCACTGTCCACAGTGCGTCTGCGTGAACTGTGTGGGGTCAGTTTTGTTTCTTGTCCTGCTCGGGATGTTGGTCAGTCTGGTGTCCAGGGAAGGCGTGATTATACAACTGCCTGTGGTTTGCTGCTACACTGTACAGCTTATACAGAGCCTGAGGGAGATGGACAGGAAGATACAACATGTTAATGTGAGATGTCTCTTCATATTTGTAAGATGTTGTGAAATTGTTTATGTCTAAATAGATGTGTTCAGGTGTGTGTGCAGGTAAACACCCCTTACCTCATTTGTGCTTCCCTAAAACAAAGAAATGAGGAATGTAGTTAACCAATCTGTAGTAAAATGTGACCTCATCTATCTATCTATCTATCTATCTATCTATCTATCTACAGATTTTACAGTTTTATTTTTATCTATATTTTGAAGAGTTTCGCACAGAGTGCAGAGGGGTTTGATCATGTATTATTCGCCTGATTTATATAACATTTTAATCCACAAAAACATGGTGATCAAAATATATATATACACTCAATCATTTTTACATTAATTTACTTTGAAAAAATATATTTTAGTCTATTATTATTATTATTATGTGTATATACACTACCATTGAAAAGTTTGGAGTCATTAAGTTTTTTATTGAAGAAATTAATACTTTTACTTTGCAATGACGCATTGAAATTGAAAAGTGACAGTAAATACATTTACTGTACATTTATTTAAATGCAGTAAATACAAAATATTCATATATATATATATACACACACACAGGTGCAGATATATATACACACACATGGTTTAGGGTTACTTGCATGTAATTATGCATAATTCATTGTTATTATAATAGCAGGTACATGTAACGTGTAACAAGGATACCTTAAAATAAAGAGTTACCAAAAAATATTAAGCAGCACAATTGATTTCAATATTGATATTAATATCAAATGTTTCTTAAGCAACAAATGATTATTGAAGGATCATGTGACACTTAAGACTGGAGTAATGGCTGCTGAACATTCAAAACATTTATATAAATAAACTATATCTAAATGCGTACTTTAAAGTACAGTAAGTATTTATTTCCTCTTAAATGTTGTGTTTTACCTGATCCCACAGCGCTCCGGCCACCTGGTCAATGACGGCACCCAGTTCTCTGTATTCTCCTGAGTAGCGGATGTACGCCCAGGTGCACAGAGTGATGAGCGCGAAGCCCAGCACCATGTTGCAGATGCTTGCGATGATGTCAACACCCACGAAGCCCGTGATCCCTGCGGCCACATACATCACAAAGATCACCACGAACAGCGTTGCGGGTGTTCGTGCCGCGTGGAAGATGTTCTTGGAGTCGTTGTGTTTGATGTACTGCACAAACAGCTCATCGATCTCCGCCTCCAGCTGCAGCAGGTAACGCCGGCTGAACTCCTCTCCACCCATTTTCTTCACACTTCGAAACAACGTCAACGCCTCCTCACGGATGCCCAAGTGACGCTTCTGCAGCTCGCTCGGGGCGAGGAAAGGCCGATCTCCTCCGCTCACCTAAGGCGTAAGACACATTTGATGAAGAGGAGTGACACTAATACGACGAGAAAGCAGCTGTTAGTATCACACTCACCTCCTCCATCTTCCTGTTGTATAGATCTTTAGCTGCAGCCACTGCAGCCAGATTATTTGCTTCTGCTGTGGCCTGTGGACACAAACACACTCTAACACTGTCATACTGTATGATGCTAATAGCTCTTAGGTATATTTACTGTATGTCAGGATGTGGAGTGTGTTTGTTAAGAGGTCATGCCTGTAACATGGATTTTGGATGTGGCAGCTCCTCTCCCTGGTAAATCTTGATATATGCCTAAAATCATAAACAGCTGCTCCGTTTACTCAAGGAATACCACATATCAAATTAACAATTGTAAACTGCATAAAAAATTAGGGACGCATGATTGGTACCATATTGGTTGATGGCAGTAGATTTTGTAATATCAGTTGATATTGGATTCATAATTTCCTCTAACAATGTTAAATGTAATCTTTAGGAAATTAATTTACTTCAAATTTAAAATGCTACTTTACAAAATAGCATTTTATTATGGTATATTCTATATAAACCATTTGCAGTCTGTAAGATTTTATACATATTTTTGAAAGAAGTCTCTTCTGCTCACCAAGGCTGCATTTATTTGATAAAAAATAAAACCAGTAAAACTGTGGAATATTATTACAATTTAAAATAACTGTTTCTATTTGATTATATTTTCAAACGTAATTTATTCCTGTGATGGCAAAGCTGAATTTTAAGCAGCCATTACTCCAGTCTTCAGTGTCACATGTTTTGTTTTTCAGGATTATTTGATTAATAGAAAGTTAAAAAGAACAGCATTTATTTTATTTTATTTTTTTGTAACAATGTTAAAGTCTAATGCATTCTTGCTGAATAAAAGTATAAATAAATATGTAAATAAGTAGTATATATAAATAAAATGTAAATACATATATATATATATATAAATAAATAAATTAAAATTATTTATACTTTTATATATAAAATTCTTATACTGTGCCACTATTTATGAAAATAACGTCAGCAGATTGATTTTTTTATATTTAATATATAAAATAAAATATATTTTATATTTGCATTCTTAATAAAATGCCTGTAGGCGAATTCCCATTTCATTCCTTGTAGTAGCTAATGCACCTCTAACAATACTATTACCTTGAAGTACTCCAGAAGTCCACGGCAGGTGATTTTGCTTCCATTTATCTCTTTCACGTCTAGGTTTTTGGGGCGTAATAACCACGGAACAAGCACTTGCAGATTATTGATAAAATCTTGATCGATTTCTGAAACACATGATTGGAAACAGGTGTTTTTGTACTTCACAGTATAAGGACGCCAACATAGCTTCCACATATTTGAGCTCAGCTACAATCTACTGATTTAGCGTGCATCTGTAGACATACCCTTCAATCTGCCGTCAAAGTGTGGGTTTGTGGCCACCTTGAGTCCCGGGTGTGGCATGAGGAAACAGGAGATGTTGGTGAAGCAGGAATGGATGTGTTTCCTCACGTTCTGCAGCTCCTCATGTTGATTCTCTGAGATCTACATATAAACACACGTTGTGGTGGTTATGATTTCAGTTTTTTTATATGTTAGGCCTTCCATATTTCCATATATTAACCTCCTGACCTTTAATCTTTTCTCCAGAAATTTCATTCCTCCTTCCTGTCCGTAGGGAAACTCATATGGAAAGCTCCAGTCTCGCACCAGAAAGATCATTGACTTGTGTAAAAACACATACCAGGTGAGTACTGATTCATTTATAGTAGCATTTCATAATGACAGTTTCATGAAGAACAGTCTGTTTCAGAATGAAACTACAAAAAGGATGTCAGCAGAAACATTAAAATATATTAAATACCTGAAATGGTTTAAGGAATGTTTCTTCCATGGCCAGTCTGCCATATTCAGTGAAAAGCTATAAAGGTCAACAAAAACAAAAGCAGTTTTTCTTTTAGCACAAATACATTTTTTTATACTTAATAATTTTTACTGTTTCACTCTAAAAACTGCACTCTAAATAA